TTTTTTTTTTCTTGCATCTTCTGATGCACCTGTCTCTGTATCTATGATAAAAATAGATCAAGCAAAAGCAATTTTTTTCTATTTTCTTTTGTCAAATTCATAAAATTTTCAATCATCTTAAACACATTCAATTAATTTGTAAAATAGTGATAAAACTTTGTTCAGTTATTGTTGAGAAAAAAAAAATGAAAGAAATTTATCAAATAAGCATAGGTGAAAAAATCAAATTGTTGGAAATGTTTGGTGGAGGTGGAGTGGCTTTTCCAAATTTCTTTTTTGTTGAAAATACACATATGCACACACATACAGAAAGAAGTAAGTCAGTTGATTTAATTGCTGTTTTCTTTTCAGATTAGTCTATTCGAAAACGAATAAAAAACTACCGTTTTTTGTATCTTTTTACTGTTTACTGCAGAAGTATGCAACGGAGAACCCACAGAATCCTAAGAGTGCTGAGGAGGTTTTTTTTTTGTTGTTGTTGTTTGTTGTTGTACTCTGTGTATTTGTCAGATTCTCCTGTATTACTTAAAGATCACCAGTCTCTAAAGTCTGTAGATTTTTGAATTTCAGGACTTAGACAAATTATTTTTATCTTATTTCACTGTTTCACACTTTTCCTCCAAATTACCTTACTCCTTGCTTCGTTGTACACAAAAATTTACTGTTATTTTCACTTTTTTCTTGTCTTATTCTCCTCTTTTTGACAGTCAGTAATTTAACGTCTGAATTAGAAAATGCAAAAAATAAACCTAAAAAATCTAGACGTGAGAAAAAATATATGATAAAAAAATGAGACAATAAAAGCTTAAATAAACTGCGGTATTTAATTGTTTTTCTTACATTCTTTTCCCCTTTCCAGTCGTTCTCTTTATCTATTTAGCTTTCAAGTTTGACGAATATCAAAGATTAACTAAGCTTTCTTTTTTGTTCTTTCCGAACATTGAAATAGAACTTAAAAGCTTAAAGTCTAAGATACTTATAACAAATCAGTCGTCTCCTATTTTTTTTAAATCTTTTTTTCAAAGAACAGTTTCTCGACGTGTATTTTGGCACTGTTCTTAACAAACTGTTTCAGTTAAGAACATCTGTTTTGCTCTGTAGCAACTGTTGTATAAAATGCAGTTAAACATCAGCTGCTACAGCAGCAACAATAATACAAACAATAGTAGTGCAAGCTCATGATTACTTACCGTTTAAAAAGTAAGTATAAATAGATAAATTTTAATAATAATAGCTTTCTCTTCGTTTAACTTGTCTACCTAGACTTATCTTTAGACCGTCTGCTAACTGTGGGTATTTTCTACTCGCCCACTGCCTTCGTGAAGTTGAATTAATCAAATTTTTTGCCAGCTGCCTGTTGTCAGCAATTCAAAGTGCTTGGTACTCCTCGAGTTGGATGAATGAATGAATGATGTGATGAGCTTAGGTGACAAACATTGGTACAAGGATGGAGGAGAGAGAAAAGAGGTGCGAGGGGGAGGGAAGGGCAAGAAGAAAGGTGATCTAAACGAGCGGAAAACCGGAACAAAGCGGATTAAAATTAGGAAAGGTAATGTTGTTGGAAAGACAACTGCGAATGAAACATTGAACGGAGTACTGCTGACCGTTGACGATGCGACATCAACAACAGTTTACCACTAAATGAGAGGCTGCTCGTAACGTTAGAAGGTGCTGCTGCTGTTGCTGCACCGGTTCAATATGTAACTAATCGTTTCTTTTTTTAAGATTCCAGTTTCCAATCTGGTTATGTCAAAATTTTTCTTTTTTTATCTATTTTATTTTTCTGCTTCACAACAAATGAACAGAGTACCCGAGAAACGATCGGTTAAAAAAGTGCTGGCTAAGCCGATAAAAAAATTTTTCCAATGCTTCAAAAGATATCATCACCAGCATCATCATCATCATCATCATCAATTTCCTGCTTCAACCGAAGAGCAAAAAAACTTATTTCACTGCTCAATCATCATAAATCTTTTTTTAATTAGATTATACATTGTTGAATAGACTAAAAAGTTGACTTTTATTGATATTTCAGCTTTATAAATTTATGTTAGTACTTTAGCAAAGTTGATTTT